ATAGATGGATATAGATAGATAGATAGATAGATAGATAGATAGATAGATAGATAGATAGATAGATAGATAGATAGATAGATGGATATAGATAGATAGATAGATAGATAGATAGATATATAGATAGATACATAGATAGATAGATAGATAGATAGATAGATAGATAGATAGATAGATGGATATAGATAGATAGATAGATAGATAGATTTGATGCAGCAAGGACTAACAACTTGTAATTTATTTAGGTGATTTCAGGTGTGTCTAGTAAGATTCCTAGCTGTTTACGGAAGACGATATATCGTTACCATGTCACGTGAGCACCGGTATGTTTTTCTTCCTTCTGCCACTGACTGGCAATTTAGTAAAGCGACTCCCATCTTCGCAATATCATCTTCCGACATGTGACTGCAGGCTGACTGGAGTTCTAAGATTATCTGAAATATAAATCAATAAATTATTTATGAATTGCCACTGGCAACTGTACGCGGGCTATAGTACTACTACTCGAGCTATACGTTCCGGTATACCGGACCGTAACAAGGGTACGTTCCGGCAGTACCCTGAGGACCCTCTCAGCTCTAGTAAATATAGCCCACGTGCAGTTAGCTCCAGATCTAGAGAAGCCCCTGCCTCAGTCATGTGACACTGACAGACTGAAAGTGAGAGTGAGACAGACCGTGAAATTGCTCTTGAACGAGATTTGCATGTTATCATTACCGATTACTGCTTACCTTGTGATGACAAGAATCAAGTTCTGATAATTGCATGGCATTTTTAGCCTCTGCTAGAAACTTCTCGTCTTCTGATGTCATCTCAAACGGAATGACCGAGTCAGAGTGAATAAGAGCTCCTAAAGTATCAGTGTTGGTTGGGGCGTTCGTCTTCCCCACGTTATTATTAGATTTACTACTAAACAACCAAGACCATAGCCCACTATCAGCAAACTCAAATGTACATAGCATAACGACAATCAATAGCGACAAATTTACAAAGGAAAACATATTGCACTGCAAACAATAACTTGGGCCGATGTATCGCGGTACGGTAGCAACTTTCTTGTTTTCATTCGCTCGCGGTTGTTCATTCAAAGGCGCGGTGTTGTGGTTGTGTGATAGATTATCTGTTTTTCACACATAGCGACGCCATTTTAATTTTTGTGCGCGCCATCTAACGATTCCTACAATAAACAACGTAAAGCATTGCTGAAAGCCCTATCTATTCATCTATTCACCATTCCATCCATCCATCCATCCATCCATCCAGTAGGTAATGGCAGGTTGGAAGGCAGAGAATATAGTTGGGAGGGGGAGATAGAGAAAAGGAGAATGTGGATGTGGTAAGTGAGAGACGAAACAAATAGAGAAGAGAGAAGAGAATGCGGCATTTGAGCAGAAATAACCCAGGGAAGATATGTGTACAACATACACACACGCATGAGTCACGCTTCTGCACATGCACGTGTGCACATACACACACACGCACGCACGCACGCACGCGAGCACGCACATAAACATATATATGCGCAAGGGACAACACATATGCGCCAGGGAATCGAGACAGGCAAATACATACATCCTTCCGCAGTTATAGGTCATAATTCCCCCAATAAGAAATTTAATATCGCGCGTTAGCACAGCAGATATCAACCACGCGATAATTCCATAGAAGGAAGCTACCACGCGACGAACACCCAGTGGAAACCATAGAAATAATATACTAGTTAGACTCTATAATTATATTTCTATGGTGGGAACCCCATAGTTCCCAGTGGGAACTCACCATGGTTCGATTCCGAACATGACGGTGACGTATATGTACGTAGCCTAGCGCGAGATACATGTTTAGATAAGAAAGTGGTCTATACTACTATAAGAACGTTCCCACTTCGCTTCTCGCCTCTTCTCTCGGTGTCGAAAGAGATCCACGGATAGAGAATCTTTGTATATAACTATGGGTATGAACGAACAGGCGCCCGCTCTATCTGCACCTGAATCGGTTAATAAACTGGGCATTTATGCAGCACATAGTTTGTTAGTTTCCCCTTTACCGTACGTGCCATCTTGCATTTCTTTTCCCTTCGTGCTACCGTGGTTAGGAAGAGAGATGCATGATTACTACGCTAACGTACTGCATATTAATTCGCCTGCTAGGCGGTATAAGTGCATGGCCTTGGTTTAGCGAAACCGGCCTGCCTAGCAGAGAAGTCTCAACAACTTGCTGCCGACTCCCACGCACAACCATATAGCGCGTCAGATCGTGTTACGGAATATTCCCCTGCGTTTATAACGACGCACGAATATAGAGTCTAAATTACGAAATATTATTTAAACAAATTGTTTTATCACGTTTTAATGGGGTGCATACGTAGCTATAAATTACGGACGCCGAATCAAATGATCATATTCAGTAAAACACTTAACTTGGACGTACGAATTAACGTGGCTATCGTAAACTAGCATGCCGAAACACTTCAAGATGCTATATATGGGACAGAGAGTTACCTAGCTGGCAGGGACGTTGATGGCAGAGTTACAGATGTTGACGAATATACTTAGGAGAGTAAACGTTAGAGCACAGTTCACATAATATCAATTCGTAGGAAGTTGTCTGCTCTGTATGATTTTGATTAATTTACGCGCGACAATGCAACTGAATGAACAGGTGTACTGTACGCTTACCTTGATGACGTCATGATTACGTTCGTGCTCGTATTTAGCGAAGCAAATGTTTTCTTTGCTACACAAAATCGACTAAATTTGGTAATTTAGCGTCTTAGCATTCATTCTTGAGGGTTATAAATTATGTTTATTTCGTATGAACGCCCGTTTTATCGAAGCCTCACCTATTTCTGTCAGTGATCATACAAAACATGTTTTAAAAAGAAAATGAATTAGGTCACATAACCATTGGTAATGTACCATGTATATAATATTTAACATATAGCTAAATAATTAGGTTTTATCACGTTAATAAACCAAAACGATCTCTACAAGGTTGCTTTGCTCTGCCACATATTTACTATATATGCTGCCTTGATTCTAGTTAGCAATTATAGCTAAATTCTAGCTAACGATAAGTATGGGCCAAGGCGGTACTATGGTAAATGAGTTGAGCAACAGTTGAGCAAGGAAAGCAGAAAGGGGTCGCGAGGAAAATGGTAATCCTATAACGAGAAATGCTGGACACAAGAACACTATCGTTCACAGTTAAGTTAAGTATTTGTCTATTTGACAGTACAATCAAGTACAAAATTCCATAAGCAATTTAACCAAATCCAGAGATTGGATCTTTGGTGAAATGCACCTGATCAGAAACAGATAAGATTACAGTTAAGTTATCTATTTTTGACGTCCCCAATGTCAATGGGGACCAACATCGCATAGGCAGGCATATACGAAAACCAAATTACGTCGTCAGTATGTCGTCAACGAAACGCCTCGCTGAAACGTAGACACGGAAGTAAAGAGTTTCAACGCACGAGAGTCGATCCCTCGATGACACAGTGATGACGTCGTAGTGTCACAGCAGTGTCGCAGTGTCACGTGTTCCACGGCGCTGCGACCGATGAGCGCGACGAAAGGCACTCGTTCGACACCCGCGAAGCGACTATCACTCAAATGACATCTTTACCTGACAGTATTAAAACTTTTCGATCCATTTAACTCTGTGAGGTAAGATGACAGACGAGTGTGAGAGAGTGAGATGGAGGCGTGCGTGCGTGCGTGCATGTTCTCTCGCTCCGGCGACACGAACTACACGTACACAAACGCGGTTCTTTACGTGACGTCGGCACGCGCTATCGCACATCTTGAAACGTACAGACGCGCATATAGAACGTTCCCGATGATTCTTGATTCCAATCATCATCGTGGCGGCTCGGCCGTGCATGGTGAACGAACGTCGTATACAGTGCGGTGATCTTACACACTCAGATAATATTTCATTTCGGCAGGTTCGGTGTGCGTAGGCGTCAGCGTCTCTCTCTCTCTCTCGCGCGCTCTCTCTCTCTCTGCCTCTCTATCTATATCTCTCTCTCTCGCTCGCTCTCTGTCTCTTTCTCTCTGTCTCTCTATCTCTCTTTCTCTCTCTCGCTCTCTCTCTCTCTCTTTTTCCACTCTCTCTTGCTCTCGCTCTCTCTCTTTCTCTATCTCTCGCTCTCTCGCGCTCTCTCTCTCTCTTTCTCTGCCTCTCTATCTCTCTCGCTCTCTCTCTCTCTCTCGCTCTCTCTCTCTCTCTCTCTCTCTCTCTCGCTCTCTCTCGCTCCCCTCTCTCTCTCTCTATTCCCGGACGCGAGCACTCTTAAAGGCAACGCGGATGTTTTACTGCTGAAGCACTAGCAGCAGCACACAACCTCGCATTAGCCGCAACATACACACACACACACGCTCACACACACACGCTCACACACACACACACACACACACACACAC